GTATAGACCCACCCCCCTCCCCCCCCCACCCCTACAACCCCAACGTGTACTCGTGTTCACTCGCCAACATTCGTGATATTTCGGACTTTCAACCCCCCCCTCTAACTCAAGTTTTTTCCTCTGCCTCCAACCCCCTACCCACCCCCAGGCAGCCCCGCGGTTTCTCTGTCTTTGACGATATTTTTTTGGACTCTCATCTGAAAAATGGCGACTCGTCACGTGGGGTTCGTGTAGAATTGGTGTGAGTTCCCACACTTCTTCACGTTCTTTTGTTACCACCGCTGTTTTCTTTTCAATTTTCACTGCAATTTCTTCCTTCCTACGATTTACGCAGATCGCTTCTCTTTGTCTTTATGACCATGCGGTGTATCATTCCGTGTCTGGCCCAGTGTCTGTCGGGGCTTTTCAATGTCTGTGTATGCACGAGATCGCCCCTCCACTCGGCAATTTGCCTCCTGAAATTATTTTTCCACCTCTGTCTGGCTGCTGTGGTTGGCATATAACCGACTTCAATCGATAATATCATAGAATTTGATGATGGGATTAGGATGAGTGGGGTCTCTTTTTGGGGATTGAAAAAATATCTTCAAGATGAAAGAAAAATTGGAAAATTTCACTCAGCCATTCTCGAGTTATTGACGATCAAAGACGGTCCATTTTACCTCACTCTACCCCCCCCGGCCCTCGCGACGAGCGTTCCATGTCCTCGCCAATTTCACTAAGTTGTACAAGTGCAGATATATTCAGCCCTGGTGTAGACCTTGTATATGTACATAGTTAGCAGCTATATGTGTAAATATATACGACCTCTGAGCTGATATTAGCGCCTAGTTTCAGTGGAAAAGGGAGATGCAACCGAGGGAAGCTGGTCATGGCTTGCTCAGACGTACAGATAGATGTGCAGTTGGTAAAACACGCTTACGGCATATCTCGCATACGCGCAGGACTGGAATATATGTTGCATTATCATCGTGGTTCATGTGTATGTAAGGGATGCAGAGAAAGCCCCGTCAGCTGACCAACGATGGAAGATTTATCGATGTTTATAGTGGATACGCCAGTTGGCACCCTGTTTAGAGAATAAATTTTCAATTTCAATGGAATGAAGGGGGACACGTCAACGGAAACGATATCTTTATACCGCTGACGACAAAAAGGCCTGAAAAATGGCAGATAAAATTTTGAAGAAAGGACAATCCATTGTGTACAATCAAGCCGATTTGCAGTGAAAGAGTTCCTTCGTTTTTAATTTATAAAGTTTATACGATTCTCCCATGTTATTTCATCTCCCGGTGTTTTTGTTGCCCAACGATATATCGCAAGAGCGGACGAATCCTTTCATTTCAGACAATGGGACAATCCGAGAGATAACCTAGCTTTGATCTAGCTCTCTCGCTTACTCCAGTTGCTTCTCTTTCTTCATATTTTCATGACGTGTCGACGATACAACAATTCCTCATGTCTGCAGTTTCGTCTTCATCTCTTACGGGGTGGTGGCTTCATTTTTTTGAGCATTTGAAAGTGAGGATTAGTTTGGAAGGATGATTTAGTGAGTGGAGTCGAGGAGAGTGGAACCTGTTCTGGTAAGGTACAGGTTCCACTTATCATAATCCAAGCCTTAAATCTTGAAATCAACGAAGAGGACCTGCCATTCTTGATAGCTTTCAGAAATATTCAGGCATGAAGTTATTCATCGATCTGATGAAAAATATCTTGACGGAAAAATAAAAATACCGGAAGAACCCAGCAGCGTATTACATAAGTGAAAATCAGTGATAGAAGAAAAGACTGGCAAAAACTAGAGATGACAAAAAGAGACATAACATGAGCAGAAGAGTGGACGGATCTGTCCCATGCTTTGCAGCGAGCAGTTGACAAGAGTGGAAGCTTCCTCACAGAAAGAAACAAGTTCCTTGTCTGTTAATCCGAGCCTTAAAGATCAATACCCACGAATACTACTGTCATTCTTGATGTCTTCCAGAATTATTCATAATGTACATCAGGTCGTTAATGTTTTTCATCGATCTCATGAAGAATACATCAACAGAACAAAAATACCAGAAGCCGTCAGGTTCGTCCAAGCAAAACCTGGCACCATGTAACATAAGTGAAAATCAGTGATAGAAGAAAACACAAAACTGTGACAAAAAAGAGACATAGCATGAGCAGACGAGTGGACAGATCTGTCCCATGCTTTGCAGCGAGCAGTTGACAAGAATGGAAGCTTCCTCAGAAAGAAACAAGTTCCTTATCTGTTAATCCAAGCCTTAAATATCAATATCCACGAATACTAATGTCATTCTTGATGTCTTCCAGAAATATTCAGAATGTACATCAGGTGGTTAATGTTTCTCATCGATCTCATGAAGAATACATCAACGCAACAAAAATACCAGAAGCCGTCAGGTTCGTCCAAGCAAAACCTGGCAGCATGTAACATAAGTGAAAATCAGTGATAGAAGAAAAGACTGACAAAAACATGGGATGGTAAAAAAGAGACGTAGCATCAGCAGAAGAGTGGACGGATTTGTATCGATCCAGTTGCCTGGCACACGCTCGATTAGACATGGATTGCACCGACTCAAACTTTTCACTAGGATCGTCTAAGGCAACGAGGAAGACAGCACATTGCAAACTGAAACGAAGAAGAGGGTAAGAAAAAAAAGCGTCGAAGGAGTAGGGGAAAGACACGTTCATTGTTAACCCTCAGTGAAGTGCGATAACCTGAAAGTAAAAGGAACGACAGCGGAGGGTGACTCATGCGCAAGCGCCTATTCCGCCATTGCTTTTTTCCCATATTGACTTGTCTACCACGTGGCAATAGTAGTTCTTCAATTTGGGAATGGGGGAAAATTTTTCTATTGAAAATATCGGGGCAGGGGGAGGGCTGTCATCATTTTGACCTCTTTGATGAGCCTGGACTCGGTGATTACAGGCTTTGACGCAGATGGGGTTCATTATTTTTCCCGAGTGATCCAGCATTACTTGCTTTTACGATACCCCACTTCTGATTGTACGATCTATTCCAATATTTCTCGCTAAAATATCACCTTTCCAACCACCTGAACATGAATAATCCCAGGATGAATAGCGAATTGATAGTCTCCAAAGTACAACCACTTCGTCAAATTGGAAATAATTCCCCTTGATGAATTGCAAAAGATAGAATGACTCAACCGAAAATTATTATTAGAAAATACGGTACGAGGGAGAAAAAAACGTGCGTCCGGTACTTTCCACCCGGCTGACTCCATTGTCGGGGAGCGACCTTGCAGGAAGAAGGGCTCCCTCGCATCCCAAAATAAGTGGTCCTCGGCAAGAACCACTGTGAGTACAGTACAACCCAGCGTTGAATTATTCATACATTTTCTTTTTCGGTGATAAGCCAATTTCGATACGAACAATTTCCCGGAGGCCAAGGGGACGAAGCGTATACGTGTTTAGAATCAGTTTACGAGGATGAGTGGTTGGTGAATATATTCGCTGATTGTACGGTAAAAATAAGGATAAGTTGGCATTACATTCATTCCATTAATGACTCCCCACTCCATCATCAACTTGATTTCCCCCCCAATTTTTTTCATCACAAATTGCCCTCTACTGTTTCACTGTTGACTCATCCAGTCCGCACTTGGTTATTTTTTTTCCCTTCAAACTTTGCACACACGCCTTTTCTCTGTTAATTAAAGCGGGGAGGATATATTTTTTTTTTTTATTCACAACAATGATTGAAAGAGGTTACGCCCATTTATACGTACATAGACATAAATTCTGCCACTCAGGGGAGGATAAAAGAGTGCCACTCGATCTGTTTCGAGTACACTTTCACGCGACAACGCACAAAAAGACAGCTGCGGTGAGCGTCATTCCCGGGATATACATAAAAAGTGCCAAGCCGGCGGTTTTTCTCGGAGCTAAAGAATCTCTCAAACGACAATGCCCGAGCATCAAAATCAATCAAAATTTCCGCCAATCCACGCTATCGATTGATGCAAGACAAAACGTGAAAGCTCAGCTGTCGACTTTACAAGAATCGCAAGTAACATTCCTCTCGGATTTGGTTGGTTCCGATAACGTGAAAAATAAATCGCGAGTATTGGATTGAGATCATTAGTAGAGCTGAGAGTGCCACTTATGCTTTCTCATTTAAACTTTCAGCTGGCAGGAATGGAAAATGAGGAAGAATCAAACGCCGCAGATAGTCATCACTTAAGCTATTCCGAGGGACATCGATGCTCACATTTATGAACTTATTGCTTCATTCATCTCCTCATTGTCATTGGAAATATTAAAATGGTATAAAGAAGTTAAATCAAGCGCTTATCTACCTGCTCCATGCATCATACAGTAACAGCCCGACAATTTATACCAGCTGGACTATACTTAGAAGATACTTGAGTTATTCTATTCTAAAAGTATCCAATATCGGATTCTCTACTAGGAAACTGTTGGCAATCTTTTCAGAGAGTGCACTCTGAGAAAAATTGCAATCGGAGCTGGTGGACGTTGTTAAAAGAACAACAGCTGGTATTGGTTTTTGCTTATATTCGACTCCTCCCACGAAATGATGACTTTAAACATTTATCCTGGTTTCGAGAAGGGGATTTCAATCTCCCTCCACTTCTCCTTTCATTTCTCTCTACGGATATCTCTAAATCTGATCTGAAGCTGTCGTATTTTTCATCTTTGAACAATGCCATTAAATTCCGAGAGCTATCTTTCGTGCTATCTGAGGTCTATCACTCAGCTTACTCACTATATGAGATAATGAAGACAACAACTCACCAAGTTGGACGTACATCTTCGGCCTGACGTTCTCCTGCCATGCGGCAATGGCAAAGCTAAACATTGTGATAGCCCAGCAGGAGAAGAACAGTTGCATGACGTTGGACTTCATCCTGATGCACAATAAACTCCAAAAATCACCAGTTAATGCACGAAAATCACATGTACCTCAGCAACCACCAACTAATTACCGGAAATACGATCGTGAGGGATTGTTTTCCAATGATGACGTGGGAAATACAAAACAAATAAGGGGGGGTGGGGGGGTAGGGAGGGAGAGGGGTAAAACTATCGATCGAGTGTTCTTGAAAACATCACAGTGTGAATTTTTCAAAACTCTTCATTTAACGGTATTGCAACAAACAATGAGTATTATCAACTGAAATAACGTCTCAGTCGAGGTGTTCAAACGTCGCCAGGGTTGAGAGGTCGCTCATGGCAACATCCGTCCGGCGCGTCTGCATACTGGCCACTTGTTATCTTTTCCCTTTTATCTTCGTTAAATTCCCTCGGGTTTTATCACTCACTCCATTGATAACAGCACTAACAAACGACTTGATTAGCTCATCTACTTGGGTCTCATTGGGTCTTTTGTCACTCACAATTTGGAGTTTATGACACGCCGGATGGGCCACGGCGGGCCGAAACCGGTGAAACGCGACAGGTGAAACAGGGCGAGGTGGACGTTAACACACGCGAGGACAAACGACGACTCTTCGGGGGTGGCTTTTTCTTTTTTTTTTTTT